TCTTTCTTTCTTTCTTTCTTTCTTTCTTTCTTTCTTTCTTTCTTTCTTTCTTTCTTAACTTGTATGCCGCCCATCTCCCCCAGTGGGTGACTCTGGGCGGCTCACAATAAAAGTAAAAACCACAAACAGTTAAAAAATAAATACTCCCTTTCATTAAAATAAATAAATAAATAAATAAATAAATAAATAAATAAATAAATAAATAAGTTTAAAAGTCTAACTACAGAAACAAGCCCTATACATGAAAACTAAAAAACATTCAAGACGACAGGGAAGTAACATCAATTGTCCTGCAAGCCACTTCTACTGGTGTGAGCCCCCATGCGGCCCCCAGGCCATCTGGCATAGCCAGGATTTCATGCTGTTCCTGAAGGCCATGAGAGTGGGGGCGCACTGCACCTCAGGAAGTAGGCTGTTCCATGGAGCGGGGGCCATGGCAGAAAAGGCCCTCTTCCTAGATCCCACTAGTTGAAATTCCTTGACTGGTGGAGTTTGCAACATGCCCCTTCTGCTGGACTGAGTGAGGCGGGCTGAGATAACAGGGATGAGATGTCTTCTCAGATAAACTGGTCCTGTGCCATGAAGGGCTTTAAAGGTGATGACCAGCACCTTGAATTGGACCCAGAAGCAAACTGGCAACCAGTGCAGCTAACATAACAGTGGTGTTATGTGGGCCCCCCAGGGGCATTCAGAACTGTCCATGCCGCTGCATTCTGCACCAGCTGAAGCAATTGACAATGCATGGCTGTCTCAGGAGCTGCGGTTTTCTTTTGCATCAAGTAGCCTCAACTTTGGAAAAGGGGGCAAATAGCACAGTGGATGCCCTTATGAGGGTTGCAGAGAAAACATCCTGGTTTAGACAATTGGCATGGAAATCATATTGCTTTAGATCTTCTCTAAGCTACCAAAGGTAATGTTCCTGTGATAATTGGAAAGGAGTGCTGCACCTATATCCCAGGTAATCCAGAAGCTATTTATATAACATTCTCCCAGGACTTCAAAAAGAAGATCAGGAATAAGCTGTGATTATCCACTCTCCTGAACATCATCCCATCAGATCTGAAGAGATTATTCCTGTCCTAAAACAACGCTCCCTCTATCATGCCAGGCTAGAAGGAAAGAAGTATTACTCACCGGGATAAAATCAACAAAAGACAGCGAAGATCCAGCCTTTGCTATACCTAGCAGCAGACCTAATAAGGGAATTGCAACAAGGAGGCTGGGGGGAAACCCCCATACATTCTATTTCTAAATTGAGGACACCTGCCTTATCTCCCAATTTTCCATCCCTTGTTAACATAGAAAACAAAGGGTGTTTTCCAGTGCTGCTCTCTCTTTTGAAAAGGTGTGATCCTTCTTCCTCTCATTTACATGGCATGAAAATAATATGAACCCTCTGTGGTCATAGAAACCACCAACAAATCAGAGCACTAGAATTTCCCACTTCCCAGATCACTCTAAACATCTCTAAAAAATTGTTCCCTTTCTTTTGTTCTTGTTTCTCTTTCTCCTATGAACAGGAACTGAATGTTCATTGCTTGTGATCTTCCTGCTCAGTGTTGCACTTCATCTTTTGCATCTACGACCCTTGGTTGCATCCCTGCCTATTTTAGGCTTGTTTCTCGCCTTTGGTATTGAAGCAAACAAGTTGTATTTCAGTGGAACTGTGTGCTGGTTCCTGGTACAAATGATCTCCAAAATGTTCTCCTATGCTATGTGCTACGACAATACTGCTAAGACTCCTAGGCTCTTGGTTAAAATCCAAATCATTGAAAGATACCTAGTCTAAACACTGTGATATTTGTTGGATGAATAGACAATAACAATCATCTTGATTTGCAGCTAGAAACTGTATATCACTTACTTTGGCTCCTGCATTTCGATCAGTTACATACTCATTGTTTCCAAACAACACATTTAAAGAAGTTCTTCAATGGTCTAGCAGATGCATTAGTTAGTGTTAACCTTGGCTGGGGTTTTCATGTTCTGTATGAACACATGTCACTTTGGCTGGTTAATAATCCCCTGTGCTTGTCTCAGATTACAGTGGGTTAATTCAGTAACCAAGTGGGATCAGTTGATTCCAATATCTGGTACTCAAAGTCCAGGAACTGAAAAGGTTTCTTCTCTAAATCTAATTGATGATTAAAAAAATCCAGCATCTTAATGTATTCATCTAGCTAAATTTGAAAAGGAACTGCAAGTAATAAACTTATGATCCAGGTTTATTATAAATTAGTTTTGAAATAGATATGTATTGCATATTTACTTATTTTCTAGTGGTTTTCAACTACGGTCAGCATGATAAAGATGTTCTTCATTTTCCATAACCTGATAAAGCAAGTTGTGAAAATGCAGCCAGAAATTAACCCAGGTCTTCTTGGGCTAGTTCATAAGTGGGAAATATTAACCATGCCAGATTTAAAAAGTTGCATTTTGGAACTATACAAACTGAAAGCAATACACTACTGCCAATTAACAGTTATTTCCTGCAACTGTGATAAATAAATAGGTTTGGAAATTAAACTTCTTTTCTGAGTGACAACAGAAAATATGAGTTGCTAGTGTTTACTAAATTAATGCAAAGACAAATTTATTAGGAGTTGATGACACGCAGAGGACTAAAGAGCTGCAGAAGTTATTTTAAAAAATCCATGCCAGATTTAAAAAGACATCAAGATGTCTTTGCATTTGGATGAGGAACCATGGAAGGTTATGGACATAAAAGGATCTGTAACATAGTACTTTCCTAAATACATGGTTATCCATAATATCTGTAATCCATTTGGTCTTGATTGAGATGTCAGAAGGTTCTTAATTAGAAAAGAATACAGAAGGTGTGGTAGCAAATATATTAGACAAACATCTCTGAAGAAAGCGAAGAGCCAGCAGAGAAGGGCAGTCCAGGCACAAGCTCTACAGCAGATGGTAGGGCTGGAGAGCGAGAAGGCAGGAGAATGTTGAAGGTACTGTTTGTTCTGATCCTTCGGATTCCACGCCTGATTCTTTGCTATCTGAAACAGATCTGCTCACTCAAACGCTATCCGCCAGGGCCTTTTCCACTTCCCGTGATAGGAAGCATGTGGCGGCGGCTTGGGATTGACATATCAGAGACGACTTTCAGAAAGGTATGCCTTTCTCGCTATTTAATCCAACAAGAAGCAAGGGGAAGTCACAGAGCAGCTTGATTCTTCTGTTTATTCTTTTATTTATTCCATTTGGAGGCCCCCAAACTCCCCACAAATCACCCAGTTAATTTCCATAGCCGTAGGTGGCCCAGGGTTTTCTGCTCCTCATTAAGGACTTTAGCCACCACTCTGCAGAGCTCCTCAACTTTAGTGGGAATGAAAATCCCATCCAGATTGAATTGAACTCTACTTATCACTCTAGTGAACTACTTATGGAATGTAATTTTATCTCCTTTGCAGCAATTTCAATTTCTCTCATTCTGGGTATTAGGCAGAAGCTGGTTGGTTAATTCACAGGTTGGATTCAAGCAATATGGGGTAACTTAGTGGAGCAAAAAATAAAAAATAAAAATAAAAAAAGTACAAATGAACCACATTCAGTAAGTTGTGTGAATACATCTATTGGGTCTTAATTCACCTTGCTAAGGCTATTATTGTTGGGGGTCTGAAATGTTAGTAACAGAAGATCCCACACAGCGTTCAGCTAGTTTTAGTAGTTTATCAGAGTAGAAGCGTTCAAACTAGCACAAAGGCTTAACTAAGTTCAGATCAAAATAAACACTCTCCACACCTCAGTAAAAGAGAAATAAAAGATAGCTCACAGTTTATTTTCAGATCTTCATGCAAAGCAGTTTCATAGTAGAAATGGCACTGTGTGTGTGAGTAATAAGCTCAGACGAAACCTACATGCTTCTGAACGTAGGCAACCGGAAGGACGTAAGAAAGCCACGAGGAGGAGAGACGATTCCCTCATACCTCGTGCATGGCCGTGAGGGAAGAAGAAAAAAGAGAGAAGGAAACAGGAAAAAGGCAGGATCCAGGCCTCTCCTGCACAAAACAGCAAAGCCGGGCCTCAGTGGAGCCGCCCTTCCCTTTGTGCTCCTGTGAGACAGGCTAGGTTGAAACCCCATATTTTTCCAACATTTATACCCTTTGCATGGGAATAATTTCACACTTGGCAT